TGTGCAGGATACATCATATATATATATATATAATTATTATTATCAATATTATTAATATTAATATTACTGCTACTGCTACTATTACTACATTGGATTTATCTCCGCTCATCTCCCCTAATGGGGACTGTGGGTAGCTCACATTGCAATATATATGTTAGGCTAATTTTAGTATCTGCTGGATAAAAATAAAATATCAAGAGAAAGAACATATCTTACTGCATGTCCCAGCATAGCCAGACGGTAGAGAAGTGTCCCCATCCTAATTTTCTGATAACGTGATATCGCCCATTGAAAAGATCTCCAATTTTCACTGGATGATAGCCACCTTTCCAAAAATAAAAGGATATAAATTTAACTTGTAGTATTTTGCTTATGTATGCATGAAAGGGTCTTAAAATCTCTAGCTAGCTGTAGAACTGCAACTGTAAACATTTATTGGGATAAATCATCACTGACTATAATGGAACAATTCTGAGAAAACATGGCTAAGATTACATTGCCAGATTTATTTCAATGTTACAAAAAGAAACAAAGATTTCACACTAAAGGCTTAACTGTATTCTGAAGCTTCATTATATCATAATTGCAAAGGAGACAGTAACTTAGTATAGGAAAACATCCCATCCATCCATCCATCCATCCACCCACCCACCCATCCATCCATCCATCCTATATGGCTGCCCATCTATCCAGGAAAATCTAGGTGGTGAACACAATAAAAGCAAGGCATTTCATTAAACCACGAAAAACCAAATAAAACCACATTGAAGCTCAGTAAAACATAAAATCACTAATCACATACACTCATACTACAGCCCCCAAAATAAACACATTCCCCATTGCTTCATATTCATCTCAATGGAAAGTTCCCTGTTTCCCTTCCTTCCACCAAGAGTTTACCAGTACAAACTCTTTAATACCAGTATTAAACTCTTGATTTAATGGACCTCAATTTAGTGAGCCAGATGTAATAGATAAAAACTCTTTTGGCATTTTATGGATCTACAAAATATGTAAAACACCCATATATAACATTCCATTCCCATTTTACACAGGTATAAAATCTGATTTGTCATTTTATTATATGTAAATAATATATGCAAATTCTCATTCAGATTTAATGGACATTCTGTTTTCTCAGACATCCCTCCCCCATGTTATCTGATTAAACTGAGAGCTTATTATATTAAGTATCATATCAGATTTTCTCTGAAATAGCTATCAAAGGCTAAGTTATATAGTATTAAGTCAAAACATATTTTGTTTGGTTATGACTTACCATATTGTATACACTCATTCTTGTTTATAAACCACAGATTAATGTTTGACATTATGTGTAGGTCCAATAACTGCTATTCATTCTGCAAACTACAATTAAAGCAAACCATGGCTTGGCATGGATATACGCCATGTGTTACACAAATACTGTTTGTTATTAAAACACATGGACTAGAAAAAGTCTTTAGTCAACATCTTCTCTACAGACCCACAGTATTAATAAGGACAACACCACTACCCATCACAAATGTGTTCAACAGTTGTGTCTCACTTGTTTAGCAATTCAAGTAAATGTAGCTCCTAAAGTTATACAACATCATTTAAAGAATTCAGAATTCACAACTACAGTACTGTTATTTTAAGCTGGCAAATGTGGGAAATTCTTGCCTATGTTAATTGGATGAATAGGAGACATCTCCAGAGTCTGGGGTGAAAAAGAGCTAAAAAAAAGCAAAACCATTCTAGTCCACCAAGCACAAGACACATGCATCTTTGGTCTACAGACTCTACAAGAGTTTCCAACCTTTCTGGTCCAGCTGGCACATTTGGAATGTTAAGACAATGCTGTGTACATTATCATCCTTCAGTCCCTGTTGATCCTATCCCCTCATTTCCTTTCCTAGTCAGTACAAACAAGTAGCACACTATTAGCTTTTCCAAGAGGTTTCCCAGAAGGCATTTTTGAAAAAGAGAGGCCTCTCTTAGAAGGGAGCTCCAGGGCCTAAGCAGCCTCTTAGCCCCAACCAAACACATCTAAGGGTTTGTTGTTCCAGCAACTATTTTGTATACTCTAGTACCCAATTCTCTTTCTGGCACCAAATATCTATCATCTACATCCTGACTTCTAGACCACTCTATTTTCTTCCTCTCTCCTCCCATCTCATGCTAGCTAACAGATTAAAAAGAGCCACGGTGGTGTGGTGATTAAGGTGCCAGACTGGGACTGGAGAGACATAGGTTCAAGTTCTCAACCAATCTCAGAGGTTGTTAATTATTGTGGGGATAATATGAAGACATTTTAGAATCTAAAATGGCCATACTTGAAGACAGTGTGGGCTGAGCAATCAGATATAGAACAGTCATCACACATTTTGTGTATATTGTACTATGACCCCAAGTAAACCCTATTCAAGAAACAACAATAAAAAATGTATTGCCTCAAGCTTGAATCTTTAAAGACTAGATTAAGCTTGCCTAGCTTACACAGACTAAGTATTAATGTACTGTGCTTTAGCAATTAAAGCAAATATAGATGATTGGTTGGTGTTTAATACACTAGTACTGACACTGAGTGCAAAGTAAGCAGAAAAGAGAGTGAAAAAGAGGTAAAAAAACAAACAGAATTTTAGCATCAATTGTTTGCTTACCCATTTTTCCCAGTTTTCTTGATTATTTTATTAACTAAATATATAACAGATGTAAGAATTTAGTAACTGTTATTTTAGGGTAAGTAATACACAGAATATTAAACTCTGTGAATATATCTAAATAGAAGAATGTGAATTGCCCAGCACTGGAAGAATGCTGCAACTCCATCAGTTCAATAATAAAATGATCTTCAACAAATCTCCCAATGTTTACATATGTTTTCTGAATCAGAGTTGTAGATTTAGGCAGCAATCCTACTGTAGATATCTGGGAAGTATCTGAAGATCCATTAGATAGATTAACCCTGTCCAAGACCCTGGACAGAGATCCGTCCTTATGAGCTTGCATCTGACAACACAGCTTTTCTAATGTTTATAGAGGCAAAAAGATGAGTCGTAGGCAGATGCAATAAGGCAGCGTGGTTGGTCCCCGCCCATCTGGGTATACTTATAGCATGCATCCTCCCTACTATTTCATATATTAACTCCAGAAAAGAACTCCATGTTTCTGCTGAGAAACATACTGGGACTATACACTGTAGCATATTCAGAGGGAGAGTTATATTAATCCCACCTAGTCTTGATATGCTCCATTGAAAGGAAGAAATTTTGACCAAGGAACTAGAACTGCCTTTTTGGCCTCTACTTCCTTCCTCTTTTCCCACCTAATATGGGAGGAAAGTAAAAGTGGGGACTGAGGATTGCTTGTAGAATCTCTTCAAAATGCCTTTCATTATGAATAATCAAATGAGAGTTCTTATATTTGCTCCTTTTTAATACATCACATATCTATTAAAAATCATTAAATGAAGCAATGTTACTAATGAGCTCAAATCCTGCAATCCAAAACTGGAATCAAACATTATACACACATGCAAACATAAATGCTATTATTAAGAAATTAATATGTATAAGAAGACTATATGTTATCTCAACCATAAGGCCAAAACATGGGAAGATGTTATGGCAGTGAGTAGCAATCATACATGCTTCCTTTTCTCTCCTCCAATCTCTAGGTTAAAGAGATTGCTGGTTTTAGTGCCAAGACAAACAATAAAGCACATTATTAAGCCAAGCATACAAGGAGATGCAAGAAAACAGAGCATAAGCTACAGTGGGGCAAAAAAGTATTTAGTCAGCCACCAATTGTGCAAGTTCTCCCACTTAAAAAGATGAGAGAGGCCTGTAATTTTCATCATAGGTATACCTCAACTATGAGAGACAAAATG